CTACCACAAATGATAACAGAACTGTAAACTAGTGCCAAACAAACTTCTTTGGGTTAAGAATTAGACTTAACAATAACTAGCTGTAAAAATATCCTTGAAAAATTTTACATGAACAAATTCGTAACCATCGAAACATATTCTGTAGCTAGACCCGGCATGTACTTCAAACTCGTGTACTTCAAACTTGTACATCTTTTAATAACATAATGTTTAGGGACAGTAAGGGAGTTATTTGTCCATCTTGACTGTCTCATCCTCTAGACTAAACAAACATTATCAAATGTATAAATCAAAAAATAAATAAAAATCATAAAGCCAGCACTCGAGGTTAAGGCACTCGACTGGGAATCTGAGGGTAGCGGGTTCGACTCCCCGTCCCACCAAACATGCTCACCATTTCAGCCGTGGGGTGTTAGAAAGTTACGGTCAATCTCAATATTCGTTAGCAAAAGAGTAGCCCAAGAGTTGGCGGTGGGTCGTGATGACTAGCTACCTTCCCTCTAGTCTTACACTGCTAAATTAGGGACGGCTAGCACAGATAGCCCTCGTGTAGCTTTGGGCGAAATTGAAAACAAACTAAACCATATTCTGTAGCTATCGCCAAATGTCTCTACACACATACACACACATGTATATGTCCTTACCGTGCATTAAAAATAAAAACAAAATAAGTTGTTAGGTTGGTTCTATGGTAGTTACGCTTTACGTCTAGCTTATCTCTTTTTCAATAGGCTTCCCTGTGACCCAGCGGTATGTCTGCGGACTTACAACGCTAGAAAGCGGGTTTCGATACCCGTGGTGGGCAGAACACAGATAGCTCATTGTGTAGCTTTGTGCTTAATTACAAACTTTTTCGATAGACAATATATAATAGGCTTAAAGTTTCAAATGCACGATAATTCATATACTTTTTGCAGAACTAAATATGTTTTCTTGATCATTGATTAGATTGGCTGCTGTATGAGGATAATTTCATTTTTGTTTCGGATATTCGCCCAAAACTACATTAGGGCTATCTGCCCTAGTCATCTCTAATTTTGAACTGATAAACTAAAGGGAGGAACTAGTTAAAAGCACCATCGCCAAGTAATTGGATTTGATCATCGATCTTATAATGCACTCATGGCTCTAAAGCTAGGATCGTGATTTTCCAGCAAGGGGACACGAATCTTGGATCGTTCGGATCGCTAACCACTAGTACACACCCAACCATTATCGTCAGTTCCAAGTTAAAATTAGCACATATCGTAGTGAGCGTAATAAAAGCAGTCAGTTAAATATTAATTCGAAGTTAGCGGAATCGATTTTTTTGCTTGTTTTAGAAAAGCAAAAGCGATAGGATGAACAATACTGATAACAGTACTTGTACGAAATGTGGAAATAATATTAATCATGGTTATCTCTGCACCACAGGTACACTCATGGTGTGTTCACTGTATAGTAATGGGAAGAATGCCAGGTGGTATCTTAACGTGACTGAAAACAATGATGTTATTTTCCAGATTAGATGCGGAGAACAGAATTAACTGCTTGATAGCAATACAGTAACAAATTGTAGAGGAAAAAGCATCCTAAGAAGTATATAAGTCATGATCGTTTTAGCATTATAAGACTGCTTTTGAAAGAAATGCGTTATTTATGCATGGACATTTGTTTTTCATTTGTCACAACTCACAGTTTAATTTAGAGTAGATTGGAAATTTCAGGTTAAAAGGCACCTTACGTGTACATAAGTTAAACGACTAGGTCAAAGACTCTCTTCGTCTCTAATTTTAAACTACTAACCAAAACAAATGCAAATAGACAATAAATTCACCACTAAAATAACTTTATCTGGTCCTTTGAACCGAAAAACTGATCAGATTTACTGTCTCATTTATAATTCACCAAAAGCTGGAATTTCAGAGCATATTCAGCATCATCATTCTCGAATCCGGTACCCTCCGACATGCAGCCCTAAACGTTAACCAATTGGCCATGCCTCATCTTAGTTATGAAAACTGTTTAACGATTGAAAATCATTCTTATTGTATGATTATTAAATTTGTAAAAATGAAATTACTTTCTTATTTTTACAAAACCATTATAAGGTGAAGAAAGTTTGTTTTGTTACATTGACCTTTTAGAAGAGAACTGAATAACCAAAGCGTTAAAGGGGACCAATGAAACATCGAAGCGTTATGCTTAATCTACGTTGTGTATGTTTGTTTGTTTTGAATTTCGCGTAAAACTACACGAGGGCTATCTGCGCTAATCGTTCCTAATTTAGCAGTGTAAGACTAGAGGGAAGGCAGCTAGTCATCACCACCCACCGCCAACTCTTGGGCTACTATTTTACAAACGAATAGTGGGATTGACCATCACATTATAACGTCTCCACGGCTGAAGGGGCGAGCATGTTTGGTGGGACGGGGATTCGAACCCGCGACCCGTAGATTGCGAGTCGAGATCCCTAACCACCTGGCCGTGCCGGGCATCTACGTTGTGTAAGAACATGCATGTTAAGATTGATCAATGTCCATTCGCCGTGGGGATGTTATGATGTGAGGGTTAATCCCACTGTTCGTGGTATAGAGAAGCCCAAGATTTGGACTTTCCTCTAGTCTCTCACTTCAAAATTAGTGATGGCTGTTGCAATTAGCTCTCGAGTAGCTTTGCGCGAAATTGAAAAAAAACTAACAAAATCAATAAAAAAATACTCATAACGTTGTAGAATATTGGATTATTTTTCTGCTCAAAATATTTATTCAAACTTATCTTCGTATTTATTAACACTATCTAGTAAAGGCTCTTCAGGAACGACTTACAGGTTTATTGTAACAATCAGTATATTTGTAGAATTATAAATTAAGAGAATCCTGTACCATTGAAATATTTTCTGTACTATTATAAATAAAACATTAATAAGTCCAAGAAGCAAGTATCGAATATAATATGTTGATGAAAAGGAACAGTGAAAAGTCCAAGCAGTGAGATCCAGCTTTGTTAATTTAAATATGATGCTTCAATAGACGTAACATATCTTTCAAGCGTGGCCTAGTAGCTAGCACGCCGAACTATGGATTCATACGTCCATCGTTCACGTCCCACTACCACAAGATATAAAAAAAAAGAAATTGCTCTCCATAGTTTGGGGACATTGGTGCCAAATAAATAGATAAATGCGCCACCCATAGTGCCACCACTCACTTCTTCGACGCCACACTATTGTATTATAATATTCAAGTCGCTCTAATCAAATGCGATTAACCCCCTGTAACTTCTTTGGTTATCCTACTTTATCTATTCCTATCACAAGAGTTTACCCCCCCCCCCGGCAAGTCCTTATCCAAGGTGGCACAGCACATTGTGTAGCATTGCGCTTGAAACAAAGAAAACAGTACTAGTAACTACGTTTAATTAGCACTAAAACATTCACATTTTTATTGTGACATCATTATTAATTTACAAGTGGGATTGTTAATCACACACACATGTACTAATAAAACACAGGTTAAAAAAGATCAGGGTATTGCGCACTTACAGCATTAAAACGCAGCCTAAAGTATCGGGGCATTGATTTAGAATGTATGTACGTACGGTTTATACATCTGCTACATCCCTCTGGTGACATGTACGTTGTCTAATACACTGAAATGAGTAAGCCACCATAACTTAATCACTTTTTTTTTTTCAAGATCGTTGTTAATGACATTTGTCCAAAACCTTTACTAACTCATTAAACTAATGACTAGCTGTCCTTTTTTATTATTAGAAATCTAATTGGAGCATAGATCATGTTATACTTAACTTATTTGAAGTTGTAGTCCTAATACATTTGTGAACATTTTGAAGGTACGTTTCTATTGTTAAAAATTGTGGTTTGTTGTGTTGTTAAGCACAAAACTGCACAATGTGCTGTCTGCGCTGTGCCTATCGCGGGAATTGAAATCCGAATTTAAACATTATAAGCAATGAGGCTTACCGCTCTGCCACGAAGTTAGCATTATAACAGACTTGTTTTTGTAAATCAAATTTGTTTTTTATTCTAGGCTTTCTGAACAAAAACACCAGTAGTTCATTGTGTGCGCTTTTGTTTTAGATATAAAAAGCAAAAAAAAGAACATACTTATAAAAAGTGGCAAATAAGCGTATCAGTGCTGTCACAAATAAATCAAATATGTCAAAGGGGGAAAAAAAAGAATAAAATGTTTTAAATTTGTGTAAATAAAATCGTTCCTGGTGCAGTAAATGTAGAGTTTGTTGAATGACTCGAAAAGGTTAAAATCAATAATACAGGGTTAGGTAAGCTTTTGGATCGATTTTTATGGTCTTTATTTCCGTCAGAGACATAATGCTGTTTCTGTTGCACCACAAGTTCTTGTGGGTTCATTGGATAAGCTAGATTGACATATAAGTATATCTCCCATATATATACCATAAGTTTAAAATAAATCTAACGATTTGAATTAACTTTTTTTTCTTCTGTGAATTGTTTATTATTTCAAGATTGTGGTAAAACTGCCACATTCTGGTTTGCTACGTAAACAAAATGGTTTAATAGTATATTCTGGTTCACTGTGCTAACAAAATGGTTTGAGAGGCGTATTCTAGTTTTTTGTGTACAGATAATGGTTTGATATATATTATGGTTTACTGTGTAAAGAAAATGGTTTAATATCAAGTTCTGGTTTACGGTTTAAACAAAATGTTTTAATAACTTATTCTATAAAAACATTTTTAATAGCATATTCTGATTTACTGTGTAAACAAAATTGTTTAACAGCATATTTTAGTCTGGTAAGTAAAGAAAATGGTTTAATAGCGTAATCTGATTTAATTTGTAAATAAAATGGTTTGGTAGCGTATTCTGATTTACAGTGTAAACAAAATCACTTAAGAAAGTATTCAGGTTTACTGTGTAACAAAATGGTTTAATACTGTATTTTGGTTTACTGTGTGAAAAATGTTTTAGTAACGTATTCTGGTTTACTTTGTAAAGGAAATGGTTTAATACAATATTATTGTTTAATCTCTAAACAAAATGATTTAATAGTGTATTTTGGTTTATTGTGTAAAGATTGCTTTAGTAGCGTATTCTGGTCTATTGTGTAAAAAATCGGTTTAATAGAATACACTGGTCTACGGTTTAAATAAAATGGTTTAATAGCGTATTCTGGTTTGCTATGTAAAGAAAATGGTTTAATAGCATATTCTGGTGTACTTTGTAAACAAAATGGTTTAATGGCGTATTTTGGTTTGCTATGTAAACAAAATGGTTTAATAGCATATTCTGGTGTACTTTGTAAACAAAATGGTTTAATAGCGTATTCTGGTTTGCTATGTAAACAAAATGGTTTAATAGCATATTCTGGTGTACTTTGTAAACAGAATGGTTTAATAGCATATTCTGGTGTACTTTGTAAACAAAATGGTTTAATAGCATATTCTGGTGTACTTTGTAAACAAAATGGTTTAATAGCGTATTCTGGTTTGCTATGTAAAGAAAATGGTTTAACAGCATATTCTGGTGTACTTTGTAAACAAAATGGTTTAATAGCATATTCTGGTGTACTTTGTAAAGAAAATGGTTTAATAGCGTATTCTGGTTTGCTATGTAAACAAAATGGTTTAACAGCATATTCTGGTTTGCTATGTAAACAAAATGGTTTAATAGCATATTCTGGTGTACTTTGTAAACAGAATGGTTTAATAGCATATTCTGGTGTACTTTGTAAACAAAATGGTTTAATAGCATATTCTGGTGTACTTTGTAAACAAAATGGTTTAATAGCGTATTCTGGTTTGCTATGTAAAGAAAATGGTTTAACAGCATATTCTGGTGTACTTTGTAAACAAAATGGTTTAATAGTGTATTTTGGTTATTGTGTAAAGATTGC